CCGGACATGCCAAGTACATATAAGGAAAAAGCGTATGGAGTGGTTAGCTATCTAGGAGGCAACAGATGGATTAGGCAGATTATTGCATAGTGCCCATGCAGTGCTAAAAGAGTGCGAGAATTCGTTTCAAAACCTCTACGGATTCAATGAGTGAGGCCTGAAATAGAGAGAAATGGAAAAATTGTCCTTTGAATCAATGGCGGCAAGAAAAACGGCGATGAAAGTAGATGGGCAAAAGTATTGTGAAGATCTGTCTGATAAAAGCTTTCTTTGGAGATGAGGAAGAATCTCTTGATTTTGATACCTCAGTATAATTGTGCTCAGCGAGAAAAACGTGCAGACTGTTGAGAGCAGCACGCGCTGGGATGATAGCTGGCGAATGCTTCACATTATCCCACTTTCTGTACCTGCGCTTTTCATTCACCACGTCAATCTAGAAGTGACATATATCGCAGCAGCAACCAAACAGCGAATAATAATAAAATGGACAAAGTGGAGCTTGATTACGCGATATTACCAGAATTCTGCTAGATAAGGCAGCAGTCGTTGGCCTCAGCGTGAGTTTAGGAAAATGCGTCGCTGTGCTTTGTATCAAGCAGCACGTCTTCGCGCTGCATGACAGGTCTGCCTAGGTTCAAACTCTGCATTTGCTTACTTTTAGCATTTAGTGAAGGAAGTCCGCACAGAATTCTCCGGCGAAAATACGAGTAAAAAAGTACAGAAAAAAGCGTTGGAACAAGTAATAGGCCATAATGCGAAACTATGCTATGAAGAAACGACAATCGGTCAAAGAATTAAGGTGACGAGTTTGAATGAATGCAGTGAATACTTTGTAGGGCACAAGTTCGTCGTAACCCCGAACAGTTCCAATTCCACAACCCGACATCGCTAGCATTGCCGCTGTCGGTACATAGTCGTATACTGAGCGCTTCTGAAATTTGATATATTATTCCTCAAATACGCGCACTGCAACAGATCTAGAACAACCGTGTGGTATGCCACGGTCACTGCAAAAACAGCAACATCACAGTTGCAGGGAGCCTGCCACTGTTGCGATAACCATTAAAAACTGAAAAGAAATGGGAAAAGCGCAAGCAACAAAGCGCTGTAGAGCACCCAAAACGATACGTATCGCTCTGGTATGGTACTGTAATCATACTGTTCATTCATTTATGAGAGAAAAAACTGAATTCAAAGGTATGCGAAAGACAACCAGACAGGCAGGCGGGTTGTCATGCGTTTGATCGAAAAAGAGAGCAGGCGCAACGGAGTTGGTTGCATCCTGGAGACGCTTTTTAATGAAACCACCGTATACTTCCCCACCGTATCGGTATACAAAACGACCTTGCTCGAAGCATACGTTCGCATTCTGCGCCTCTGCAAATCGCATGTCTTGTTAAAAAAAAGCGAAATTCAAAACAGCACAAGCAACCGCTGAATGAGCGCGTTAATCTCTTACGTGTACACACCTCTTATTAAGGACGTTATTCCAAGTCGATTCACGTAGATGTTGTCGAGAAATTCGTTATCCGTGAACAGTTCCGCAGTCACATATATATCTGGACGCACTTCTCGAGCAGCTTTCAACAAGTACTACAAACGCCACTCTCAAATTGAACTTTAACAAAAGGCTATTTTAGGCAATCACTTTTATCGAAAATTTGAAAACTCATGAAAACATACTTCAGCGACATGAATTGGTGTGCTGTGACAGTTGTCAATACGTAATCCATGAAAAACTTTCGCGCATTGCTGCCTGCAAAACATTACCTATTGAATGACAGAAACGTTTTTGGCTTTTAAAAAAGTTCGTTGACACACCGCAAGCGTTAAAAGCCATCACTCCCGAAATTTATTCTTTCAAATTTTTTAAAACAAATGCAGAATTAGTAGTGGCGCGCACCAGTACTGCTGGTGCAATCATGCGTGACTTTACAGTTTAATACGTGTACTTATGTTGGCAGCGTTCAGGGCATTTGCTGC